ATAATAAAATGTTTGATACTTAGCCACACGTGGCAAACACGGGCACGCAGGCCCCCAACTGTTTTAATGAAAATATTGTTCAAAAATCCATGAGCGGTTTATACATTTGAAATAAGAATGGAAGCACGAACCACGTCTTCCTTCTCGATCAGTCACCCTAGGCAAAGGTGCAGGTAGTAGGACTCTAGCCTCAACCTGAAAAATGTGAGGGCCCCCGGAGGGGTCAGTACTCCATAGAAGTACTAGTGACAAGCAGGCTATATGAAGAATAACTAATGTTTCAGACACGAGACCCAAAAATAGGGTGATATATACATATAGATGTCCCTCATCCACCCGATGATACATACTGTATATATACTCGTAAAATACTCAACCCGTAGGTCATTTACCTTAAAGAGTCTTTTAGAGATAAAGTTCTTGCCTGACTTTTCTCACTCCTTTCCCGGTTACCTAGCTCACAAGCTATAGTCTACTTCGATTCATACTACCGAGTGTTTTAGGATCATTTACCGTCCAAGGCACTCAACCCATCCTGGAGTATTTAAGATCATTTACCGTCCAAGGGTACTCGGCCCCACCTGGAGTATTCTGGATCATTTACCGTCCAAGGGTACTCGACCCCACCTGGAGTATTCTGGATCATTTACCGTCCAAGGGTACTCGACCCCACCTGGAGTATTCTGGATCATTTACCGTCCAAGGGTACTCGACCCCACCTGGAGTATTCTGGATCATTTACCGTCCAAGGGCACTCAATCCCCAGTCTATTCTCTACCAAATCCTAACCTGGATATGGCTAACCTTTCATTCCTTTAACTATGGACAATGCCTAGCCCTATAGTCATATAACAATCCTTAGGATCCAACGTGGGCGGGTCCCACCCGAACGGCCCACATTAACCTACTCAAAACTGCCCGTTTTGAGCATAACCCAATACTCGATCGAGTATTAACCCATACTCGGTCGAGTACAGGATACAGTAGTCCACAAAGCTGATTTTCAACAAATACCCGGTCGGGTATGTGTCAATACCCGATCGGGTATGGCAGTTGACTTGGCGGTCAACGCCCCTTTTGACCCCCCAAACAGAGTCCGATTAACTTGAAATTTTATACACATATACTTCTTGATGTCCTTGATCCAAAAATACCATTTTGGATCCCTGGATCATCACACAAAATATGTTATCACATTTTTAATCACCAAACCTACATAACATGCTTTTTAACTATGTTTTGTGTATAATCATGGCATAAACACACACTTGGTTATCTTTAATCATTCCACAAAACATATTCCTGATTACTTTAGGTAATCTCATGCCTCACGCAAAAGTTATAAATCATAAATCCGTCTTCTCACCTTAATGAAGCTTATGAAGTTCTAGCCTCCCCGATTTAGCTCCGACGAAACTCCGGCGAACTTCAACGAACTCCGGCGACAACTCCGGTGACCTTTTCAACTCCGTGAAAGTTCCTTGAATACCTTAGACAAGTTACTAACAAGGTTTTATCATCATAAAACCCATAGTAATACAAATAACCTCAAAAAGGTTATTTTCCGGCGAACCGGTCACTTTGGCTTCTAAGTCCGTTCTTGGACTTAGAACTACCTTCCAACCCCTCTTTCTACACATCCCAACGTGTAGAACATTACTAGGGTGTGAAATATGATTGAATAATCATAAAAGAGTATTGAAGAACAAGAAATAGGAGTAATGGAGTCATTACCTTGTTAAACACAAGTTTTCCCACCTAAACTCCTCTTTTCTCTTCTCTTTTCCCTTTCTTCTTCCTCCCTTAACTTGGTGCGTGTATGATGGATGAAAATGGTTTATTTGCAGAGCTCCTCTCACTTGGTTGATGCCTGATACGAAATGGGGTGGGTTGGTATGATTGAGAATGCCTTCTTGGCATTTCTCACAATCATGGCATGTGGGAGGCCCTACTCCATTTAATGCCTTTCCCCTCAACCCCTTCTCTTTCCCCTCCCCCTTCTCTTTGTGCGGCTCCCTTGACATCTGCAGCACTAAAATCCGTGGGGTGGCCCCCACTCATGTGGGAGGTCATCCCTTTATGTCCCTAAGTGTAGAATCGGTCCCGAAAGTTGTATTTTCCGGACTGTTTTAAGTATATTTTATTTTATTGGGTCAAATAAAATATAACACTCGTTCCCAATCCTTATTGGGCCTTAGAATCATTATGAAATCCCCAACTTTAATTTATAGGTTCTCGGAATCCCTTTTTGGGCTGTTATCTGATAAATTGCCGATACCGATAATTTAGCCCGTTTGACCAACCGGTCACCCTTGTGCCATTGTCATGGCCCAATTAGGATATCCACCACCATATACATATTATCTAGTCCAAGATTAATATAATATGTGGTCCCGATAATATTGGGCGGCCCCACATCCGGTGTGGGCCCCACGTGAATTTTACTATTCACGTAATAGAAACGATAAAAATTTACAATCACGTAAAAATGCTTTTATACATTTCTCAAGGTTCAATACATAGTTTGGTACAGTACAAATACTCGGGGGCGGTGTTACATGCTGCCTACGTCCGCGCAGCCCACATTCTTCGCGCCGCTGACCACGGTGCTTGCTTCCAGCACACTGTTGAGTTCGCCGCCCGCTGTTGCAGACATCCATTCTCTAGTGGAGTCCGGTTCGACCGCTCGCACAGCTGTTCCAGAGCGCTACGCTGGTTCCACTCTTTCTGGCGAGCCAGGCATGATCTTGTCATCTTTTGTCGGGCCAGTTGGTCGTCGGCCGAGATCCTCTCCGCTGCCAACTTCATTCACTGCTCTTGCTCAAGATATCTTCAAGGGTCTCCAAATTGTGGACAATATTTGTTGTCTTTCTTGGTCCTAATTTGGTTTCTTGGAAGTCCTAGAAACAACCTACTTGCTCATGGAGATCTTATTGTCAAATATGTGCCTCCTAACCTTCCGCCGGTGGATATAATTACTAAGAGTTTTTTTGTAAGTTTGCAATTTCATTTTTAAAATTAAAAGACAACCTGCGCGTTGTATCTCTCGCACAGTTTGAGTGGGGTATAATAGCCTAATATATTTAGGAATCTGCCTAATATATATTTAGGAAATTACCTAATATATATTTAAATATACTTTGTATTTTGGCAACTCTTCTATTATAAATATATCTGTCAGGGCTCCTATTGGAGTACCCTTTCCCATTATTTCACACCAAGTACTCATCCCCTATGTTCTATAAATAGGAGGTTCTATAATATATATATATATACATATATATATATATATATATATATATATATATATAGGAGGTTTCCCTCCTATGGGGGCTTCTTCTTCCTCTTTTTTCCTCCTCTCTAGATAGCTTTGTAACTCCATTAATGGAAGCTTTTGTACTATGTAATAATGGTGAGGAGAGCGTTAATGAGAATGAGAGAGCTTGGAGATTAGCCTCAAAAATCTTGTGGTTTTCTTCCTTTCGGGTTTCCACGTAAAGATCGAGAGTTCATACAAATTTATATCTATATTTATTACTCCATATATCGTGTTGGATCAAACTCAACAATAGTAAACACTTAGTTATATCAGTAGCATTTAATCCAGACAGATCTCTTAACCAGACAGACGTCTTAAGTCATTCAAGATTTAATGAAAAAAGTAATGAAAAAAAGTAAACAGTCTCTAAATCAACAAACTTAAGCTTACTTTTACCCCTTTTCTATTACTTAAATGTATCTCTACTTTATGAGAGAGAAGAAAAAATATTAAAGTCAAAATTAATTTTTATAAATCAAATTGAAATGTAGACGATATATAATCTCTAAATTTTTGTTTTAACTTTTAGAGAAAGCTTACAAATAAAACCTCATACTACCATCAAATTCTCAATTAGAGAGAAGACACACATACACAGTCATACGTAAGAAACACCAAATGAGATAAACCAACTAGGAAAAAACCTGCAATTCATTCGGCCAGCCTTTTAAAAAGTCCAGGACAAATACCCGCAACCACTATATTGTGGCCAATAAAAAACACGAAAAACCGAAGTTGTTATATCATGGTAGTCCGTAATAAGCATCATACTCTCACATCTAAAACACGAGTGAGCTGTGACTCTGTGAGCAGTAGTAACACACATGAACAATAACTTTTTTTGTGTAACTCACGTGTAAAGAAATGTAATTCTTTGATAGAAATGTAACTAAAAGACAATTCAATGGAAATGTAATAATGGGATATAAGAAATAAATGCGTAGTATTAGAAGTGGGATTCCTAAGTGGGAATGTTCTTTCCATTCAATTATCCATTCACGATACAAAATTTGATTAAAAAAATGCAGAATTGTCTTATATAGAATTTAGCCATAGCGAATACTACGTATAATTTACGGTTAATTAAGAGGAATACAGAGCATCTAAGATCTACATTATACACACTAATTTTTTTATGTTAAATTAAGAAGCACAAAAAATTTCGGGAAAGAGCATGTTTCTGTTTCGAAAGCTTTAAAGTTTAAATAAACATTGAGGAATTTAATCAATATGTGTTTTCATGTTTCGCATTTCCCGATAATTTCCACACTTCTGTGTAATTAGCTTGCAGTCTTGCACTAGTCTTCTAGGCAGGACACCAAAGGATGAAATTGTTAGCACACCTGTGTTTTATTACAGCCAATGATTGGCAAGGTCCTCCATCCTTATATGAAATTAGAGTAATTCGAAATGAAAGCAGGACCCTCATAATGTGCAAATACTTCATAAGGCCGATGGCAATTTTTTTGCATATCCTTCTAAACTTATTATAGTATCTATTCAAGATAATGTCAACATCCTTCAATGGGATGAGACTCAAACTTGTTACCTCTTTAGAAGATATGTCATGAAACCACAAAATACACGCAGGCCGGTACTAGTCTTAATTCGTTGCAGACGTTGATGTAACTTGCCAGGAGTTTAAAAGTAATCAAGAGTGAATTACCAAATATTGGGAGCGTATTGTAATTAACAAAAGTGAAATAAAAAGATTTCTAAAGCATAAAATCATCACAGCACTTTGACTAAACAGAGTTGGACAGTGTGAAGTGTAAACTATAAACCAATGTTGTATTGCTTAGTTATAAACTCGGCACTTTCGAGAATACTCTCAAAGCAATAAATCATTATCTCCAGCATTCACACCCTGCACAGATACATAAATCTACACAATGCAACTAAAGCTAGTAGTAAATTTTAAATTTTCCTACAGAACAACAGGGGGTCTAAAATCTAAATCATTGTTCAAAAAGAGCTAGGCTTTGCAGACTGGAACCTACTGCCTAGACGGGGCCGGGACATGGAACGACATGAGTTTGACAGCCTACCTCCCAGAAACAACGTGGCTGAGTCTCATGTTCATTACAATCCCTAAAGACATGCATTTCCATTCACTCAATCCTCTTCCCTTCCCTTTTCATGTAAACGATCTAAGTGTGTGTATTTATATATATATAGATATGTATGTACAGCATGCATCCTTAATGCGAAATGGAACTTGCATCGGTGCTATAAAATGAGTACTCACTCAAGCTGAAATTGGGCCTCTCTTCATCCCACTTCACTATCTCCCTCGCGTACTTTAGCGATTCGTCAACACTCTTTGGGTCCAAACCTCTAACCATAGAAACATACAATTTTCTGTCAGTTAGAGCTGAGAATAGCCTCTTAAATTTGACAGCAATATAGTGGAACGCAAGATGACCCAAGGACGGGTTATGGTTGATGTTGTTGCTACTGCTGTTGGAGGAGCGATGGAGGCTGACCACAGGACGGAAATCATCAAACCACTCACATTCAGTCAACGGTACGCATTCTACCTTGTCCTCAAACAGGTCAAACTTATTTAGGAGCAATAGGAAGTCCATCTGATCAAATGTTGGGTGAGTGACGATGCTCTCGAAGAACCTTTTGCTCAACACCATTTTGTTCACTAACTCGCCCGTCTCAGCCACACGGTATTGATCATAGTCGCTCAAGGACACGCAGAAAATGACAATCCGCACATCCTCAAACATCTCAATCCACTTGCAGTTTTCCCCAAACCCCTTTGCCTGTACTCTGATCAGCTGATATCTGAGTGAAAGAAAAAGTATAATGTTATGAGAGGAGATGGGAGGAAAGTTATTTATGAATGCAACTACAAGATCCGCAAAAGTTCATAGGTTTTCATCTATAGAGTGTAGCCCATAACTAAGATGTAGTCTGGTAAGGGAACATTTAGCTGAAATGGCTGAATAGGCGGAATTATTATATACTACGTATATATATTTTTTTGGTTATGATGATTGGTTGGATGTATTAAACCTAAGAAGATATCTAGCAATTTTCAACATGGGGAGAAATAAGAAAAGGAGATGAATATGTCATCTTATTTTTAAAATAAAATTCAGCGCAAAATGTAGCAAAAAGTCAAATACTTGCTTATAAGCCAAATTTGGCAGATGGTTTGTTTGATGTATTTGCAATCTTTTAAGGCATATAAGACATAGGCATACCAAAAGGGCTATAAATTTGCACACATGACGGATGATAATATGAGGTTCTTCTTAAAATATTACTAATAAGAAAGTCATGGACAAAGATGTGATTTAGTAACTATTAGTGATTATAATTGTTTTCAAAGTTTACATCATAGTCACTATATCATAGTAACTTTGAACACAATTATAGTCATTAAAAATTATCAAGTCACATTTTTGTCCACTACTTTTCCAGAAGTAATATTAGTGGAATTGCTTCTTATAATATATCTTAATCTTAACAATAAATTAAAGAAAATAATATCTCAAAATGAGGGTAGAAGCATAACTTTCATTCATTTCATGATTTTCAACGACTTCATCCCAAAAAGTACATCTTACATTTTTACTATCAATAAATCCAGCCATCACTATCAAATAGGTTCATGTTCGGTAAAGAATCTAGATGATAAAGTTTGTAAGGAGAAAAAGGTGACCAACATGGGGGAACGTAGTATCCGAGCCAAAAACAGATTACATAAATGATTTTGCATATGATATCCTTCTTTCAATAAAAAAACTTTTTTTAACATGGGTGTGTAACCTGTATTCACAGCTCATCTTATGGTTTCTTAAAAAATGTACTAGTCCATTTACTAAAATAGATTAGAATTAAACGTGATTTTCCACACCCATTACTTGTAAATTCAAATTCTAAAATTTGAAAATTTTCCAAACCCAACTGGCCTTTCCACCTTCCTAATATCAATAATAATCGAATAAATACATAAAAACTTAAGCAATTTTGATCAACTTGCTTTATATTATTTAAGTGTCAAAATGAGAGACTAAAAGTAATTGTGCAATGTACTTCTGGAACCATTGCTACAACTCCACCCCAAAAACGTGAACAGTTCTACAAACCTGAGCAGAGAATCAGGCTGATTATTGCTATCAATATTGTCATCATTTGAAGCCTCAGGAAAAGAAAATTCCATGCATGAAAGCCCATTGGATGATGTAACACCCTCAGCATACAATACATCAACATCTGAAGGTTCATAATCGACTTTCAAAATATCAACAGCCTGAAAAGGACAAATCATGTTTATCTTTTTGTTTTTTGAAGAAACACAATTTCAGATGCATGTGATAGGAATTAGGATAGAATAATATTAACTTGGTCACAGGTTTATACCGCATGACAACAAAAGATCTTTGCTGGAAAATTCATTCATAATCCCTCCGACCCTAAAAACCAAGTCCTAGACTCCTAGTTCAAACAATCAAACGTATATCCCCCCCCCCCCCCCCCCCAACAAAAAACATTCCACTTTGATGCAAATGAAGCTAATATTTCAGGGAATCTGTTAACAGAATTATCAAAAAAGAGTTGACAAAGAAGTTACATACTTACATATGACAAGTTTAGTTAAATTAACAAATAAATTTTAAAAATATAATTATGACAGGTTGCACAACCTTAAATGAAATAAAAAGTTGTGTGTTGGTTAAAAACATGATTCTTTTGTGGGGACAGATGTAGTGTAAATAACAGGTTGCAAAATGCTGGAGGAAATAGCCAGATACTCGGAACTGGTGCTAACTCATACTAAGACAAAGAAGCTAAGGTTCTGCATTTAAGTCTTGAACACTACATGTATATCCTAACCATCTACAATTTCTTCAGAGGTTGCAGTCTAAACATTTCAAAAGCAACATATAGTTTCTTCAGCAACAACTAAATGGGGGGAAAACAAAAAATTCCTACACAATGAAGGAATAACATAATAGGTCATCACATATTACCCCAAACACCACTTATTCATTTTAAGAATCATTCTATTTATCAAAATATAGGATAACCCCCCCCCCCCCCTATAACCATCCATCCAAACACATCCTAAGTCATTAAACATGAGTGATACAAAGGGTGTTAAAATGAATTAAAAAAACAATATTGATGCAATGGAAATTTGGAAGAAAAAAAACAGACAAATATTCCCCACAGAACAGTCATTGTCTTACACGCTCAAGGAAATAATTTGCAACACCAGGTAGCATTTCCAATTCACTCCTCCGTTTGTAGGTAGCCTGAATGGCAGCATCACTCCACAGCTCTTCAATTAATGGAGCATACTCCCGTGTAGCTGCTGGAAAGACAGCTTCCAAGTTACCAGAAGCCATAATCTTGAGGAGCCAATCAGAAAATGCTCTCAGTCTAGCAGGAATGGAATACAGAGTTTTCTGATCAACTCCATCAACCTTCCCTGTACTTCATCAGAAAAATAAATTAGATATATGGTGCAGGACATTACAAAAAGTATGGATGATATTTTATGGAGTTCATTAATTTGTTGTGCAATCACCTGTTTTTGTAGATTCATCAGAATGTTGTCTTATTGATAGTGCATTTACACTTTCATCCTCAAAATGCTCACGTCCCTCAAGAAGTATGGCAAGGTATCTATAGACATTACTCTGAATCACTGATTTGATATGTTGGCACTCATCCTCAGTGAAAGGTACATCCTTATAAAGAATTTTTGCCTACACCATACAAGAAATTAAGGGAACCAATTAAACCGGTAATTTCAGTTTATTTGGGTGAGAGCGGATTGAGCAATAAAAATAAAAATCAATAGTCATTGAGGTCTAATGTTCAGAAAACTACCTGCTTGAATATAGTGCTTGTACCGGACCCACTATATCCAACAAGAAGTAGTTTTTGAAGTGTTCTTTGCTCCAAGTAAGCAGGTATTGATCGATTGAGCGTGTCGGTTATTTGCTCCCCAGAAACAGAAGATGAAGTTGAAGGAATTGGAAGGGAAAATATTGCACAGACCAGCTTTGTTCCAGCCTAAGATGTCAGATAGATTGAATGAATGACACATTTGTTTATTTCTGTGAGATGTGAGGAAGAAAAACATAAAGGAATGATACACACTGACAGCATAGAAATCCTACCTTGCCCCAGATATAACCTTTTGTGTTTTTCTGTCCCTCCTCTTGGTATGAACCGTCATCGTTCACCCAAAAGTGTGGGTTGCCAGCACACTGAACTCCTGCTAACTATGATAATCAAAGTATAAGGAGACAACAAATCATGTATGATGTATGCATGGGGTTTTACCTTAATTACTAAAATATAACTCATGGACAAAAAAATTGACTATATAGTCACTACCGTCACCTAAGAATATGAACATCATCACTACAGTCCCTGTGGTAATATCATCATGGAAACAAATGACTATATAGTCACTACAGTTGCATAAGAAAATTTCGATATGATCACTACAATCATTGTGGAAATATCATCATGGTCACTAAAATGCAAAATTGAACATTAGTGTGTTTACTAGTGTCGCTGTGAAAATACAAGTATGGTAACTGCATACTAAAAGTCATACTTTTGCCCATAATTAATTGAGTCATTTAATGTCAATTTTTATTACTTTTGCACTTTTGAGAGAAACTAACCCGTAACATGCGTAACTCCCCTTTCGTAATCTCACGGCCATTTATATGAACTTGAGTGTTCCCATTACTAGCATTCACCTTGATAGGACCCCCAACATTTAGATGGGCGCTAATAATCTGTGAAGGCCTTTGTCCATCCTTCAAAAACAATCAGCAGTCAATACAAAACTTCAAGATAAAAAAAACAGGAAGACAATAATGAGAAAGCCTCCCAATGACATGGCTCTACCTTTCCCCATAGACCAGAAACTTTGTCATACCAATACTTTCCAGGTTTAAGCTTCTTGGGAGGTCTCTGGCAGCTCTGCAATATAACAAGCTCTTCATTACAAAGTGGCCTTCCATTCACACACACATATTCTGATGGCAATTGATTCACTTCACACGTCTTTTCAGCCTTCATAATCTGTCGAGTCTCCAAGTCGTTTAGCAGACGTTTAAGCATGCGGGAGCATTTACCCAAATTTCCCCGCTTGGACTCATCAATTGGATACCCAATGCAAGCCACACACTTCCTTCCCTCAGGCATGGACCCCATGGCTCTAAGCACACATCTACTGCAATATTTTGCATCACACACTAAACAGACCTCCTTCTCAGTAAACCTGTTTCCTTTAGAGCATCTATAGCATGCCCCTTTCTTCTTTGCCATCAAGTGAGGTTCTTTCTTAGGTCTGCTCACATCAGGTTCAGGTCCACTAAATTCCTCATTAATATCTTCATCATCTGACTGGACATCACAGAAAGTGACAATTGAAGCCCGCTTTGCCTCATTGTCTTGTTCAATATTACTGTCCTCAAGTTTATGAGATGAAACTCGAGAAGATGGATAATCAAAACTCATCACTGAATCGTTTGAGGCCCAATCGGGTTCACTCCCTTTACCAGTAGTCGGAAATCTCATCAGCGTCCCGGAACTTCTAGAAAATTCCCTCGACCTCTCGAAGCTACTGGAGAATCTAGAGTCACCAGAGCTACCCAACCTGCCCAATAACTCATCGGAATGCTCATGGCCAGCTGAGGAAGAAGCTAGCTCGGTGGATTCATTTATCGCGCAAGAAAACTCACCTTCTCTCTCTGCGGAACTCGAGCTACTAGATTCACCAGACGTAACGCAATCACTACTACTCGGCACTCTGTGGTCAACGACACCGTTGACCGAGCATGGAGACAGTGTAATCTCAGACGCTAAAGCTAACTCTTTGCTAGCAGACTCGTCCTCGTACCTTGTACTCTGCCGGTCAAACGCAATCACGGAGGTCGGAGAAACAGTTGAATTGGAGCTTCGCTTCAGCTCCTTCGAAAACCCTTTCGCCACATCAGAAACTGAAACGGGATGAACGACGGGCAAGGTAAATCTATGAGATATCGGCATCTGCGAAACCACTGAAGCAACTGGAATGCTGTCCACATTGATGGGTACCGCCCGAGGAAGTTCATGAGAAATGGGTGGGCCATGGTACTCCATTGCGAAGGAGTACTCCACTCCATCATCCACCGCAGTCGCCTTCGCCGGCGGCATTTGGTGCCTTCTTTCAATAAAAATCAATTATTTGCGGACTTCACCACTCACATCATAAGAATAAACTCATTTACTCGTATTTAGGAGCACCCATAGCCCTGAAAACACAGTAAATGCAAAAAAGAGAGACTGAAATCGGTGGAAGAAAGGCAGCGGGTCAAGTGAGTTAACCTAACGAGCGTCAGAGATGAGATGCGTGAAGAAAGATCCAAGATTGGGGTCTGGGAGAGGAAAATGTGTTGGTAAAGTAGAAAGAGTCGGAGGAAAAACGGGCAAGAAGAGGTGGGTACAGTGTTAAAAGTCTTGGCATCTTCTTTCCTTTTCTTTTTCTTTTCCATTGAAACTTGACAATCGGGTTGATCATTGTCTGGATCAATATATTTTAGGTGTGGGGGCCTAAGGTGAGGGATTTTGGAGTATGTTTTAGGAAATAAACATAGACATTTATTATTGAATGTTTTAGAAAATAGGCTTAACATTTATTGTGGTGGACTGGTGGGTTTTTCAAACATATTTATTATTCAAAAATGATGTTTGTACACATTCTTATACTCATTTTTATACTTATTCATTTTTGTGAACGCTTTTTTGTCTGTGAGTTTCGTTCAAAGACAATATTTTGTTTGTCCAAAATTTACACAGACAAAGTTATATTTTATTCTGTGAATCGGATTCACAGAATAAAAAAAGAAACCTTCACAAACATGATGAATATAAGGTGATATAAGGATGAATACATCAAACATTGTTGTTCATTATTTTGGCAACTTCCGTGCAACATAAAAGTATAACACTACACGCTCGTTTATTAGAAGAGCAAGCAAAAACATGCAACTGATCATTTGATGTTATTAATGTCAATAAAAGTATGAATTTGTCCATCGTCCTCGTGGACTATGAACTTCATATTCATGATGTATATACTCTTAGAAAAATAGGAATTTAGACAACCCTAAATATATTTTCTTTATACTATATGGAGTTCGGAGTTTTTGTTTAGAGTTGGATAATATGCGAAAGAGATTCGAAATGTGATAGATTGTTATCATAGATTAAGATTTGAGGTTGATCCTCAAAGGGTGCACATAATCATAGGAAGAACTCATATGATTGCAAATCGGAGTAGATCAAAATTCAAATTGTTGGCCTTTTAGCTTTAATTAGACGGAGTTGCTTATTTTATGGTAATAATTTCTAATATTACATACATCAGACTCAATGCTTATTGTATCCTGAAATGTTGACATGATTTGAAGAAACTGGATGCATAAAAAATGACAACCTTATAACATTGGATCCATTTTATGAGATGTTTTCCTTTTGCGCAACCATCATATATAAAAATGTGAAGTCGGTCTAAGTTTATGAAAAAATTAAGCATCACTTATATTAATATTTATCATCTTATAATGACACGTACAGAAAAGGTATATAAAATCTAACATAATTCATACAGAAGATGATATATATTTCCTAACAAATATGGAGTATATATTACGTATTATGTGAATTGTGAAGTGTAACAAGTCATATATACAAATTATAATCGGTGGCGGAGCCACCTTAGTTTAAAGGTGTTAAGGTGTTCACATGAACATCTAGAATTTTGAAAAATATGTTAGTATATGTGTATTAAATTAGTTTAATTATTATTTATTGTCCTTTGAAAATTTAATTATACAAAAAAACGAATCATAGATTTGCCGCTGTTATAATATCGTCACTTCGTACAACTAGATTATATAGTTAGCATATAGACAATTAATCGGTTATACTTCAATAAATTTAGTCACAATTTTTACTTAAAAATGATTCATTTAAAACTCGATCAGTTTCATTTAAAACTTGCCTTTGAGCACAAACTTCCCTTTTATAAACGCATTTATTAAATCTCACCGATTCTCATGCATTATTAATTTATTATTATGTTTAAGCGGCCATCTAGAATACCGGTTTTAGGTGAAAAGTAATACTCCATCTGTCCTATTAGACTTTGCTAACTTTCATTTTTTGATTGTTCCAAAAAAATTTGTCACTTTTCTGCAATTAATTTGTGGTTCTGCACATTTCTCTCTCGTATGCACAAATTTCAATCACACAGTTTTTACTGTTCTTATTTCTCATCTAATTTGCACTTGACAAAATACACCGAGACGGAGGTAGTGGAAATTGAGAGTACAATTTATTGGTGGTTGTGGGAACCATTTGTCCTCTTCATCGTGATTATGATCAAACTTTTGTTTACTTTAGACGCTTTAATTAATAGATCTAGATGATGAAAAGGAGGCCCTCCATTGTTTTGAGTTTGACACCAAAAAATGTTGTGACATGTGGGGTCGGGCATATTGTTGTTGATGTGTATTAAGTCCCATCACCAATTAAAGAGGCATCACTAATTCGAAAACGTGCCATTAAAATTCACTATAAAATGTTTAATTAAAGGATGTGTTTACTCAATTTTGTTGCAATGTGACATTCCGATCATTTTCTTTTTGAAATTGTTATAATTATTTTATTTTTGATACAATTTTTTTTAAAAAAAAACATATTTTATGGTCTTTTCAATGGTACTAATATCGCACTTAAAAATTTTTGGAAAAGAATCTGTTTTTCTAAATATCAGTTTTAAGTTAGTCTTTTATCTTAAAATGCAAAATCTTATTTTTTTTAAATTGACCTATAAATATTTTTTTCAGTAATTAGAAAAAGAAAAGGGAGAACTATCAAATAAGCCCTCGAACTTTCATAAAAAGTGTAAATAAGCCATTTTATAGGAGACTTTGTCCGGCTGTCACCATTTGGGGTGGGTTCCCGTGGAATTTTTTGATGAAATTTTTTGAGCATCTTCTTCATTAAGTCTAGTTTATCCATACCAATTTTCAGCTAAAACTTCAGTCGAGAAGAAAGTCAAATGATTTTCTGAAATATACTGTGCTGCCTAACTGCGCAGTTATCTTCAAAAATTCATTTGACTGCCTTCCCGATTGATTTTTTAGCAGAAATTTGGTATGCGTAAACTAGACTTAATGAAGAAGATGCTCAAAAAAATCATCAAAAAGTTCTACCGGAAACCGCCCCAAATGGCGATGACCGGACAGAACCTCCTATAAAAGGGCTTATTTGCACTTTTTATGAAAGTTCGAGGGCTTACTTGGTAGTTCTCCCAAAAGAAAATGAATTGACATGCCACGTGTGAGCCCAATAGAGAGAGTGAGCATTACCCTCATTGAAGAGGGTGAACAAAATTGTTGTAGGGCGTGTTTGACATTTAGCGGTTGTGGTTAACGGATAGTGAATTATGTTAGTAGATTGTCAATACAAGATTCAGTTAGCGGGTTTGATTAGCGGAATAAGTTAACGGGGGTTGTCAGAAAATGTTTGGTAATTTAGCTGTTTAGCCATAAAAAATAGTAGAAAATGCCATATTTTAAAAGCTAACCAAAAATTATCATATTTGTGGTGTTTCCATTTCATCGATTCCATTAAAAACGCTAGGGCCGAATAGCTTTTTAGCAAACAACGTTTTCATTTATTGAAAACGCTAAAAGGTGTCAAACCGCTGTTTTTTTTTTTTGCTGAAACGTCATTTTCCGAACATCCCCATATATAATCTCTTACACAATTTGGTTTCTATTTTAGGTATATCAATCGGATTAAAAACGGAGTATATGCGACCAGACTTTGCGAGATATAAACATATGAAATTAGATAATACTTAGATAATATGAATGAAAACTTTCCGAAATAGGAGTAAACGAGTGTTGATTTTTTTGGAAGATAAACGAGTGTTGAATTTTCTGTTTTTACAATGCAAGAAAGTTACGCAGTGTCTATTCATCTTTGAAGAATGGGGTGTTTCCATGAGTTTGCCTTGGTATCATGTTCATAGCCGTCAAAAAACATAACCCAGAAAACAAAATAATCACACGTGGAAGGGTGGACAATTAGCTCGAGCAGTAAAAAATAACATTGATATGTTTTTTTACCTGAAGTAGGATTAATATAATAATGGCCTTGTTTGACAATCGGCTGTTAGCTGTCAGCTGTTTGATCACAGCTGATTGTGTTAGCTGTTTTGATTGGCTAGTTATGTTAGCTTGTTTTTAATAAATGTTTGGTAAAATTAACTACAACCGTTTGAATGTAAAAAGACGTATAAGGACATGAGTGTATAAATATTTGAGTAATGCTAATAGTGATAATGTTAAAACTATAGTTTATTTGCATAATAAATTATTTAAGAAAAACAATACTCCGTATTTTATTTGAAATGTTA